GACCCCTTCGTGTCATCCATCCCCAGCATCAGACCTTTAAGGGAGAAGTTGGGAGCGTGTGGTACAGCAAAGTACGTTCAAAGTACCTGCAGAACTGTTCCAAAAGGCTGAATTCTCACGAACAAGTGCAGACCTTTGACCGCACTCAGTGAGCTGCAAATTCCAACTGTGCAGGGGTGGGAATTCACTTTTGTGAGTGTTTTAAATCATCGCTTTGAACAACACGATCGTAGGCAGAATGGAGTCCTGCAGCTCAGTGGTTAGAGCACTCGCTTTGCAAGCGAGAGACCTGAGTTCAATTCCCGGCAGGTCAGGGCGAAACCTTGGGCAAGTTTCCTTCCTCCACACAGAGCCTAATAATAATCCCTCCAAAAAAACAAACCAATAATAAATTGGTCATTTTCAATCCACGACTGTTTGTGGGACATTGCTGTGCGCAATTGGCTGCCGCGTTCGCCCACAAATATACAGTCAATTCACTTTACAGTGTGTTCTGTGAAGCGCTTTGGGACGTCCTCCCGACGTGAAAAGCGCTATATCAAATGCAAGGATTATTATTAATGCGCCTTTAATGGAGACTGCAGGACCAGGCATCTAAGTGGACCTGTGTCTCTGCTATCTATCTCAGTATCTTTACACCTTCTCAGGGTGTGTCCGCTCATGGACATAAAGCGAGAGACAAAAACCCGAACCAGGTTAATGACCCGCCGCTCAGTCGGGGGATTTTACACAAGGAGCGAGAGAACCCAACCCTAAACAAATCATATTTATATCACCTGCGATTTCTATAACCGCCTGAACTGTACAGACTGTTTATACTGTGTTGCGTGGATTCATTTGCAGAATGGATGTACAGATAGATCGGTATTGATCGACGGCTAATGTAGGAAATATCTATGGAAGTCGATATCCTTCGTTACCGAACAGACAGAACAGAATAACAGAAATACACGAAGTAAATACCCTTAACTGGGGATTTGTTCGTTCACTGGAAGGTTCGTGTCACAGGACCTCAGTCTATCCAGTGAAAAGGGGAATTGCCAGGTGTAGGAGAGCAATGAAAGGCTGAACGACCCCAAACCAGAATTCAGTGCCTCTCCACAGAGACTTCAGCTGTTTCCCTGGACAGACAGCAGTTACAATCAGACTCAGGAGAACAGAATGATGAGCTAATGATTGACTTGCGTTACAGCAAATATAAGGTTCGTGAAGTGAGGGTAGGATCGGATAATAGAAGGAGATTCTGTGGGATAATAAAACGTGGGACGTTGCAGGCTCATAAACCCCCCTTTGCAATCTTTTAACCGCTTTATAACAGATGATTTATCTCGGAGAAGGGGATTAATATGTAATCAGATATATTCGTAATCAAAAAATAGTATAGTAACAACTTGACGAGAATCTCTCAGTTGAGGAAATCTTCCCCTGTTGTAAAAGAGAAGGATATTGGACGAGGAAACCAATCAGACGTACTCTCAGCAAAAGTGATATAAAAATATATTTGTGTTAATAATATCCACGGTGTCAGTAATGTCGTTCAATACAATCAGAAGTACAATAACTTACATTTAAGGATACATATACAGTTATATGAAAGGGATAGTGTACAAACATTCATTCAACGGTGATTTACCAGAATGCTAAATAATCTGGATTACAGACAATTGTGTAAGAAAGAGTACATCTACACTTTAATAATACTTCAGTTATAATATACTGAAACACTGCTCCCCGATTTCACATCTTAATACTTCACTCTACCTGTGTCTGTGTGTATTTACTTCACAGCATAACAACAAAATAACTGTGTACAATAAACAGATGCACAGTCAGTGAATACAGAATACGATTCATCCTTACTGTTCTCCAGTTACAGTGCTGATACCTAGTTTACAGGGTGATCCTCTGTAATTACATTTGTAATTGTACAGAGTGCTGCTCACGAGTTAAATACAGCAGAAAAGAGCCTTCCGGCCCGTTAGCGATTTCCTAATACTTTAAAAGCGTAATGTTAAATCCAATTAGGCGAAAACTTCACCATTGCACCAGTGCCAAACCTCCTCCAAGTGTGTGTGTGTAAGTGATCTCCCAGTGTGTGTGTGTGTGTGTGTAAGTGATCTCCCAGTGTGTGTGTGTGTAAGTGATCTCCCAGTGTGTGTGTGTGTAAGTGATCTCCCAGTGTATGTGTAAGTGATCTCCCTGTGTGTGTGTGTAAGTGATCTCCCAGTGTGTGTGTGTGTGTGTGTGTGTAAGTGATCTCCCTGTGTGTGTGTGTGTGTGTATAAGTGATCTCCCAGTGTGTGTGTGTGTGTGTACACCAGTGATCTCCCAGTGTGTGTGTGTGTGTGTGTGTGTGTGTGTGTAAGTGATCTCCCAGTGTGTGTGTATAAGTGATCTCCCAGTGTGTGTGTGTGTGAGTGATCTCCCAGTGTGTGGGGATAAGTGATCGCCCAGTGTGTGTGTTTGTGTGTGTAAGTGATCTCTTTGTATAAGTGTGTGTGTGGGGGGGGGGCTGTCAGTATGTGTGTGGGAAGTACATGTGTGGGGGGGGGGGGAACAGGGTATATGTGGGGGGTGTCAGTGTATGTGTAGGGGGCGACAGTGTGTGGGGGGGGGCAGTGTGTATATGTGTGTGTGGGGGGGGAGCAGTGTGTGTGAAAGAGGCCGAAGGTGTGTGTGTGTGGGGGGGGGGGGGGAGGAAGTGTGAATGTGTGTGTGTGTGTGGGGGGGGTGCAGTGTGTGGGGGGGGGGGGGAAGTGTGAATGTGTGTGTGTGTGGGGGGGGGGTGCAGTGTGTGTGGGGGGGAGCGGGTAATGTGTGTGTGTGTGTGTGTGTAGAGAGAGGGGGTAATGTGTGTGTGTGGTGGGGGGGCAGTGTGTGGGGCGCAGTATGTGTGTGTGTGGGGGGTGCAATGTGTGTGTGTGTGTGGGGGGGGGCAGTGTGTGTGGTGTGGGGGGCAAGTGTGTGTGTGGGGGGGCAGTGTGTGTGTGTGTGGGGGGGGGCAGTGTGTGGGGGGGGGGGGTAATGTGTGTGGTGTGGGTGTAGAGAGGAGGGGTAATGTGTGTGTGTGGTGGGGGGGGGGGGGCAGTGTGTGTGTGTGGGGGGGGGGGTGCAATGTGTGTGCGTGTGTGTGGGGGGGGGGGGGGGGGTGTGGGGGGGGGTGCAGTGTGTGTGTGGGGGGGGGGGGCAGTGTGTGTGTGTGTCTATGTGCCTAATGGAATTGAGAGTGCTGACAGAAGATGGTGTAATTATTTCTCTGAAACCGAGATTTTTTGTATATATCGGGAATAGAAATTGAACCTCGGAACCCAAGTACTCGTCTAAATGTCATGAAAATGCAGTATTAACCCCACCCCCACCCCACAGCACCCCTCCCCTCCCTCCCCCCCCCCCCCCCACCCTCTCCCTCCCCCACCCTCACCTGCTTATTACCCGCTGACATAGAGAGAGCATCAGCGTGTGGTTACCATTGGGAACCACTCCCTCCGCACTACACATCTGCCCCACGTAGGTTTCCCATCTTGTCCTCCATGTCGCTGCAATTACAATTCAACCGCAGCAAAGACCCGCACAGACACACGCAACCGTTGCGTTTTCCGCAAAGCGGGGACCCCAAACAACACACACACACACTCGGCAGAGCTGATCAGTCCGTGTTCCAGGAATAAATAAACCGATTAAGTTTATAAAACTACAACTTGATGCGAGCCTCGGTGGCAGGTCACCCCCCCCACCCCCACACACACACCCACACACACACACACCCACACACCCACACACCGCCACAACCCCACACCCACACACACCGCCACAACCCCACCCCCACACACACACACCCACACTCCCCACCCCCCCACACACACCTCCCACACACACACCCACACACACCCCCCCCCACACACACCCACACACTCCCCCCCCCACACACACACACCCCACACACACACACACACACACACACCGCCACACACACCACCACACACCCCCCCACACACACACACTCCCCGCCCCCACACACACCCACACACACACCCCACACACACCCCACACACACACATTCCCCCCCAACACACACACCACCCACACACATACACACAACCCCCCCACACACACCCACACACACACCCCCACACACACAGACACACACACCACCCACACACATACACCCACACACACACACATCCCACACACCCACACGCCCCAAACACACACTCCCCCCCCACACACACCCACACCCCCCCAACACACACTCCCCCCACACACACCCACACGCCCCAAACACACACTCCCCCCCACACACACACACACACCCAACACACACTCCCCCCCCACACACACCCACACCCCCCCAACACACACTCTCCCCCACACACACCCACACCCCCCCAACACACACTCCCCCCCAACACACACACCCCCCCCACACACACCACACACCCATACAATCCCACACACCCCCCACCCAAAGTCTCTAATTAAATCCTTGTATTTTGAACCAATATCTTAAGTGGGTACTTGGCTGCGGTTGGTTAAGAATATTTCCGTAAGTGATATATATATATATATATATATATATAAAACACACGGGTCTGAGGATCCCTGTGTGTGCGGATGGTTTCGGGAGTGCGGGGCTCTCGCTTCCCGGTGTTTGGGAGCTCTTCGGATCGCAGCGCAGAGGAACAGTGCGAACGCTCCCGTGTTTCGGACGGGAGTGGAGAGTCCAGAGCGGAGCTGCGGTCAGAGAGCCACCGCTCAGTGTGTAATATACACCTGAACATACATATACATATATATATATATATATATATATAACTGCGTTGTGTGAGGAGGGGGTCTGTGTGTGTGTGTCCCCCCTGTCCCTGTTGACTGTCTCTCTCTGTGTGTTGTGTGAGGAGGGGGTCTGTGTGTGTGTGTGTGTGTGTGTGTGTCCCCTGTCCCTGTTGACTGTCTCTCTCTCTCTGTGTGTGTTGTGTGAGGAGGGGGTCTCTGTGTGTGTGTCCCCTGTCCCTGTTGAATGCTTCTCTGTGTGTGTGTGTGGGGGGGGGTTCACGCTGGCGACCCTACCCCACGGTAAGTGTCCCTCAGTCTCACCCGCAGCTTGAAAGGCAGCGGCTTGAGCGACAGACCGTACAGGCAGTCCAGGCTCAGGACGTCCCCGGGGTTCGCCTCGAAGGCGCACTGGTGGATCAGGATGGCCGTGAAGAGGAACATCTGCGTCTTGGCCAACTGGTCCCCGAGGCAGCGGCGCTTCCCGGCCGAGAAGATCATGACGCTGTCGGCCAGGGCGCGGTTCACGCTGCCGTCCGGGTCCAGGAACCGTCCGGGCTCGAAGGTCTCCGGCTCCTTCCACTTGGCCCCGTCGTGGTTGACCGACCACTGGTTCACGAAGACCACCGTGTCCTCGGGCAGGTCGTAGCCGTGGAGGGTGACGCGCGAGGTGGTGGCGTGAGGGATGGTCAGCGGCACGAAGCTGGTGAAGCGGCACACCTCGTGGATGAACGCCTGCAGGTAAGGCAGGCGGCCCCGGTCCCCGGTGCCGGGCAGCCGGCCCCGGCCCACCGCCCGGTCCATCTCCTCCTGCAGCCGGGCTTGGACGTCGGGGTGGCGGATCAGGTGGAAGAGGACCCACCCGAGGGCCGTGGACGTGGTGTCCTGCCCGGCCCCCATCACGTCGTTCACGGTCCCTTCCACGTGCTCCCCGCTGAGCCCGTGCCCCGCCGCCGCCGCCCCGTCCACGACGGCGATGAAGGCGTCGCTCATGTCCCGGGTGCGCCCGGGGACGAAGGTCCGGCGGCGCTGCCCCACTTTGCCGCTGACGAACCCGAAGAACTCCTGGTTGAGCCGCTTGAAGTCCCGGTACAGGGTGCGCACCGGGTTGGGGAACGCCTGGAGCCACGGCATGACGTCCACCAGACTGCCGGCGCCCACCGTCTGCCCGAAGCGCTCGATGCGGCCGAGCAGGTCCCGGAACTCGGCGTCGCCGTGGCCGTAGCGTTGGCCGAAGCACAGGGCGCACAGCACGTTGGCGTTGGCCACCACGATCTCCCGGGACGGGTCGAAGCCGCCGCCGCCGTCGCCGCCGCCGCCGGACCCGCGCGCCCCGAGGCGCAGGAACTCCCGCACCAGGTCGGTGGCCTCCCGGGCGACGTGCTGCTCGAACAGCCGCCCGGTGCGCCCGTCGGCCGCGCAGAACGCCCGGACCGTGGCCTGGGCCATCCGCCGGTGCGCCCGCCACGCGGCCCCGTAGCGCCCGAAGGCCACGCTCCGGCCGCCGGACACCGCCCGGAACGAGGCGAAGTCGGGCCGCCCGGCGAACTGCGCGCTCTGCTTGACCAGCGCCTGCCGGATGGCCGCCTCGCCGTTCAGCACCACGATGTCGTACCGGCCGAGGCGGATCTGGAAGACGTCGCCGTAGCGCCGGGCCATCCTGGCGAAGGTCAGGTGCGGGGAGCGGCCCAGCTGCATGGCGTTGCCCACCAGGGGCCAGGGGAACGGCCCCGGGGGTCTCCGGCCCCGCCTCCTCGCGCACCTGGACCACCTGAAGGCCTCCAGGCAGGCGAGCAGCAGGAAGGAGCAGAGCAGCGCCGGCTCCACCCGGACCGACCACCCCCGGGCATCCCCTTCCTCGCTCAGCCCCAGGGGGTCCATGGCTTTCCCCCGCGGGGGGTGGGGGGTGGGGGGTCGGTTTGCGTCGATGCAAACCTCGGGTTGGTGGTGGTGGTGGTGGGGGGGGGAAAGCTCTGGGTTATGGCTTTGGGATGGGATGGGGGGGGTCTCGGCTCCTCTCACCTTCGCGATGCTGAGCTTCTCTCTTCTCTTTTTGTTTCGCGGGGGGAGGGCGGCGGAGGGGAGGGAGGGGGGGGTTTTTTAAACAAAAATCTTCCAATAAGTTTGTCTTTCTGAATTGCCTCCACTTTACCAAAATAAACTTTTTTTCAACAACAACTCACTGCAAACTTTTTTTTGTCAACTACCACCCCCCCCCCCCCCGCACCCTCCAACCCCGCACCCCACCACCTCCTCCACCCCCTCCTGTTGTCGCTGAGACCAACACCGACTCCTCTGCTGTCCTGACTCCCCGCGTAGGGTTTTTGCGCACAGATTGCAGACTGGAGTCGGTCGGGGCTCACTCCCGATGCGCTCTGGACTCGGACTGGGAAGGTTTCTCTCCATTTAAAGCGCACGGGGGGCCCCCTTTCCTCCCCCCCCACCCCCACACACAGCCCCCTCCTCCTCCCTCTCCTAATTTTCTAACTTCATTCATCCTGTAACGTGGTTTGATTTGAAGCCAATGGGAATAAACGGATCCTGGAGTTGGCAAATTCATTATTGAGTCAAATAGCGAAAGTTCCCTTTTTCCCTTTTGAGATAAGCGGAATTTTTTTTTTTTTGGGGGGGGGGGGGGGGTTTGGGGCTTGGATCTCTCGAAAGAGGAGAGAGAGAGACAGATACCTACTCTTAAAGAGGCAATGCTCGGTTTAGGAAGCCAATGTGCCCAAAGTCGGCAATATACAAGTGAACATCACGAGCCGTGGCTTAAATGCGCCGAAAAGGTTTTCCAAATCATATTCCAAATCTATTCGTTACGGGAAGAGTACTGTAATGAGCGTGGATTTATATAGAGGAGCGCAATCTAAAGTTATCAGCTGGCATTTTTTTTAAAATATATGTATATATAATCAACTGTAAGTCTTGATAGTCTCTGATACATGTAAATTTGGGTACATTCCGGAGACGGGACTCGCAGTGAGTTTAAATGTGTTCGGTGTCACGGTTGTATTCGGGAGGTAGACAGGGTGTGAGTTGGTCAGAGGGTGAAGCTCACAGAGAAATGTAATTGGGGTGGGGGTGTGGGTGGGGGTGTGTGGGGGGGTTCTGTTCAGGACCAGCCAGGGAACCGATGAGTGAGCTATGCAGATTGTCCAACAAAGTCGTGATGCTATTACAATGTCGGATGAGTCGGAAAGGAATGACGATCTTGTCTGAGATAACAGGGGCAGTTATCACGACCCCCTTTGGTCACCCTGTAAATGCCTCACATAACCCGCCCCACAAAGACATGCGGCGGCGGGTCAGCTGCTGCCGTGCCCTCCTTGCCCTTTCCAGTCCATGTTGCTCTGGTGATGTGGTCGCTCACAGTTTAGGGGTTTGGGGGTGGGGGGTAACCTGGGAATCGCACTGAGATTGTAGGAACTCTAAGGTCTTGAACCTCAATGACTACAACACAGAGCAGCAGCCCCCCCCCCCCCCCCCCCCCCCCCCCCCCCCCCCCCCCCCCCACACACACACACACACACACCTCGGTTCCCTATGATCCGAGGTGGAAGAGATCAGGTCTGACCCACTGTTCCCTTAAATGTCGTCCTATTTTACAAATCTCTAACATGGATCAATCGCTTACACACTGGTAACAACCGCAGTTGACAGAGATTGAGGTTGAGACCCCAATGACTGGAGCAGCGGCTGTTGGCTCTCTCTTAGTCCTTTCTCAAATTCAAAGTTCTTCCTCCAATACGATTCCCCAAACTCCACCGTTAATGCTACTTCTAAGGTTTCTGCACAATTACACGGAGTGTTACACACGGAATCAAGGCATTGGGTCCAACTGTTTCATTGCCCCCCTGTTAATACTCCACACAATTCCCCACCCCTCTTATTCCCCTCTCCTATATACTGGACCTCTATTCCCTCAAATCCATGCTCCCGTTGTACCTAAAGAGTTATTTTTAGATTTGTGGACTTAACTGAGACAACTCAAACACACACAGGACTCAGTTAATCAATGTGAAGTGTCCCTACCTGCCCACAATCCCCAACCAACACTATCTGTCAGAAATCAAACTGCATTCTTCCTGGTCATACCATACAGCGTATTTGCCACAAAGTCATTGAGGAAATCCCCCATTATTTCCTCGTTATTCTTCACTATGTTTTTGCACTGATGCAGTCTTATCTGCAATGTCTCATGGCTGAGGGGCCCCTCTGGACGCCCACTGTAATTCCCCGCATGAATGCCTTTCCTGACGATGATACCCACCCAACAACTACCACGGATTTATTGGAAGTTTTACGCTGTGAAGTAAGTCCGGAATGAATGTGGTACACGGGCAGCACATGCTACCACAGTCCAACTGTGATTAAGATTGGACTGGGTTGTGCCAACCCAAACCACACAACATAGTAGTCACTACACCTTTGCTTTAAGGTTCAGGAAATGGTTGTCTATAATATAGCTGGCGTGTTATTGACCCTGTTTAAATGTAAAATTTGAGTAGATCATAGTCAGCAAATCATCTGCCTTTATTTAAAAGAAAAAAAAGAGCTAAATAAACAAGGGCCATTAGTGGAAGGACTAGGTAAATACTAACAATCCTTGTATTCAGCAATTTATCACATTGTCAAACATCTCAAAGCCCTTCACAGGCTTTCCTGTAATTCCTGATTGTCTATTTGTAGACAAACCCAACAGCTAATTTTAACACACAAACAGCCAAGAAATGAATGAACAATTTTACCTGGGAGATTGTTGACCAGCACACTGGGAGGAAATCCTCTTGCTGAAGCGTGCCATGGGATCTTTATTGTCCACCTAAACAGACAAATGAAACCTTGAACATCTCATCCAAAGTAAGGCACATGATAATGCAGCACTCTCCAGCACCAGACAGAAGTGTCAGCCTGGACAGTGAGCTCGAAAACCCAATATAGGGCATAAAACCTTCTGATACAGAGATGAAAGTTCTACCAATTGAGCTGGGTCTGAGCTATAATATTTATAGATAGTAAACCAATGAATAAACACATTATGTTTTCCCTCTGGGACCTGGGTTCGTATGGAATAATAATAATCCTTGCATTTGATATAGCTCCTTATCACGGTTTCGAGGTGTCGCAAAGCGCTTCACAGAATATACTATAAATTAATTATATATTTCATGGGTGAAATGTGGCAGCCAATTGCACGCAACAGTGTCCCACAAAACAGTCGTTGATTGAGTGATCAAATTATTATTATTTATTTATGTATTTATTTATTTATGAAGGGATTATTATCCCCAGAAAATAATCTGTCTATTGACAAACAACCCGGTTCCTACTTACTCCTAGGTAAACAAAAGTGCGTTAAGTAAGGAAACTTGCTTAAGTTTCCTTACTCCACACCCGGGAATCGAACCCGGGTCCTCTCGCTTGCGAGGCAGATCAAAATGATGAGAAGAAATTCTTTTTCTGAGGGTTATAAGGGTCAGTGAATGGGACTGGACATTTTCAGCGCAGCTCTTGGTAAACTATTCATTTGTGTAATTCTATGTTGCTTGGCTGAATTAAATCCAGATCAGTTTGTGGTTGATGACACAACTCTTTCAAATGAGGGTATTGCATATAAAAAGATGAAGTAATATCTTACTCAATTTATTTCAGAGAAATAAAATTACTTTGGTTATGAATCTTGTTACTGACATAATTAAAATTGCGACAATTGGCAACTGATGGTGAAGTAGCTCAGTACACTACTGGTGCTGTAGTGGGTGTTTGGTGTACAGGTGAAGGTTATATACATAAGTAAGGGTATACTCCCAGGTAAGATGATGTACACATGTAAGCCTATATACTCACCTCATACTTGTAATGGGAATAAGTTCTCGCTAGAAGGAACTGTAGTGCCTTCAAAACGTAATCTCAAGTAGTGCTGAAGGAGTAACAGGGTCCAATCGCTTGCCCCTAATAGTTTACATGGATAAGTTCACCATCAAGGACAGGAATATACAGTACGTGCACAATACTACTAAATGTAAAAAAATCATAAGTTATATACCAGAGGTCAAATACAGGCATGGTGAACCAAGACAGTGTAAACAATGTGTGTGTCTTATTAGATACAAAAGTGTTTTTCCTTTACAGTTTTCTCACTTCTCTTGAAAGTGCTGATTTATGCTCAGGTACAACTCCACAAACATCCACCGAGGCTTATCGCCTCTGTGCCATAGCTTCCTGTATTATCAACCGTCTTCTCTGGTAACCTTCCCTGATAATCATCGCCACAATCTCCATAAAGCACTGTTATAATGTGGAAGGTGGGATCCATAAGAAACAACCAGTGCTATAAAACAGGTGGGATCACCTTATCCAAATGTATCCAAACGTACATATTAAATGCACAGAAAGACCAAATGCCAGCCAGTCCAGGGAAATATTGTCGTTTCTCCAGTTCGGACGATATACCTGGTTCAAGCTTATCAATAAAATTTCCATCAGATCACTTGAAACCCAAGTTCTTCAACATCTCATCAAAATATAGCTTCCTGACACTCAGAAAACTTGAATCCCTATATTGTGGAATCTCTCAATGGAAAAAAATACCCTCCTATGATTTGGGGTCAAGAATTGCACATAGGAATCTAGAGGTGACTTGAGCTGGTTAATCTCATAGACATGGACACAAATTCCACTATTGGCCCTAGTTTCTGCTAGTGGGTCATTGATTTTCTGGTGTAGGTTAAGCTTCTCAGCTCACTTAACTTGAGGAGGCACTACTGTATAATACAACAACTTGCATTTATATAACGTCTTGGAGCATTTAACAGTGGCAGAGCCTGACGCCGAGCCAGGGGAGGAGGTGA